GTATGAGAAAGCATCCATTTGGAATCACTCAGAGAAAACATTTTGTAGGCACAACCATTTCCTTACTTTCCACAAGCCATGTGATGCTGATCAGACATTCCCAGTCCAAGGATAAGGATACAGTACATTTCAGCAAGGTGCTTTTTGGTCACTGCTAGCTTTATTTGGTTTTCTGTCATTTCTTTTTTTTCTAGGATGCTGGGCTTTCTGTTTGACAAAACATATATAAAAGATAAAGGATTTTTTAATTTGTTTCTGTTCTGGGAAACATTTTCTTGAAAGTATCTATACAAAGTTGAATGCCTACTGATAGATAGGTCTGATAGAACAAGCAAAATGTGAGTTGAGCTACCCATTTTCTTCCTTTTTTTCTCTTCATCTCTTCCTGATACTTTGTTCTTTCCCTCCACTAAAAATTCCTGAAGAAAGAATTAGGTCATGAAGGGATCGGAGGATGAAAACTATATGGGTGGAGAGCTCCAGGAAGCACTATGAAAGGGATGGGAGGATGAAAGCTATATGGGTGGAGCTCCAGGAGGCCCTGCAGAAATTCAAAATGTATTGCTTTAGCCAGAAAGTCTATCATGAGATCATCAAGAAGAGAATACCTGAAAGCATTTCATAATTTACCTACTCTATTATATAAGGTGTCCTATTGCATAGCACTGTTGTACATATAGGTTAATTCTTTTGTCTTCTCTGACTGGCAGTGGTTTTTTTAATACATCTTTTCCACATAGTGAGAAATTGGCACTAATAAGAATTGAAGTAGAGAGCTTCCTAATACCAGGTATTGCTTGTAGCATTGAGCCCTGGCCATCCCTCTCTAAACAAGATGGGTCTTTATTATACTAAATGAAATAAAAATTAATTACAAGATTATCAAATTGTGGGCTAAGAAGAGTATATTCTATAACCTACATTACTATGTACCACTTGCTATTTCCCTGGGTCATAAAGCAATACAGTATAACTGGAGCCAGTGGAGCCAATCTGATGAGTACAATTTATCTTAGCTTCTTCTCTGACTTCAGCAGGTATTTCAGATTCACAAAGGGTTAGAAACCTGTTTTTCAAGCTGAGGTTCTCAGGAGAGAATTAACTAATTAATTTACACTTACAAAATCCTTGTTCCCACAAATTGATTAAAGTTTCACTTTGAATTAAATCTACATTCTTGCTACAGAATTTGGAATTTCTTTGACATTGAAAAATACATGCAGATTTTTAAAATTGGATAAGGGCACTGTATTCTGAGCAACCTGGTCTCCAAATGCTAGATCTTCCATTGATGGAGAATGCTCTTTGCATGGTCTAGCAGAAATCAAAACAGCAAATACCCTGAGTGCACAAAGTCTAAAGCAGGGGTCTTCAAACTTGGCCCTTTTATGACTTGTGGACTTCAACTCCCAGAATTCTTCAACCAGCGTGCCTGGCTGAGGAATTCTGGGAGTTGAAGTCCACAAGTTATAAAAGGGCCAAGTTTGAAGACCCCTGGTCTAAAGAAAAAGAATCTCTTTCCTTATTACCAAGACTTTACCATACAGTATTATGTGCATATGTAGTTATGGGATTTCTGCTTAGGAAAACCTAAAAGTAAGTTACTCACCCCATAAAAGACTTGGGCTTCATCTCCAGGGTTATTTTCTCCAGATAAAAAGAAATATAGTACAACAAAGCCATGAGGAAATTATCCAACTGCTTACACCTAGAACAAAATTTAAAGTCACATATCAAGAAATATATATTTTTTTCTTGGAACAGGGTACCAGGATTTGGGAAATAATTTATTGCTTCAAGGGCAATGGTTTTACCATCCTCATTCATACCAATGATACATTTTTATCTCACCAATTCAGTTATTTGGGCAAGGAGCCAAAATATCCAATGTGTATACCCAAACCACTTTTCAAATAACTTGAGTTCTTAAAATCGCCATACTTGCTCTCTCCATGTTCCTAAATTCAGCATAAGCATATCCTTACTTTCAACTTGCTACCCTCTGCCTCTTCCAGTCAAATATATCTCTGCCCTTATTATTTCTCCATCCAGCACCATTCCCACTCATCAAAAATCAGTATTACCTGAAGACTGAGATGCAACCTTCAAAGCACTTCAAAAGTTGATATCAAATTGTAATGATTAATAACAGGTCTTTAAAATATAAGCTTGAATTTGTCTGTTGAATTTACCAATCCTAAGCAGGTGACTACTGTATATATTGCATACACCTTTTAGCTCAGGGGTCCCCAATCCCCGATTCGTGGACCAGTACTGGGCCGCGGCATGCCAACAACCGGGTCGCACAAATAAGCAAAGCCCCATCCGTGGGATGCAGGCAGCACACAAAACCACATACTCTCCGATCCATGGAAAAACCTTTCTCCACAGAACCGGTCCTTGGTGCCCAAAAGGTTGGGGACCTCTGTTCTAGCTGATAGAATAAAGGCAAGAATATGCTGCCTCGCAAAATAGTATCTAGAGTAACAATCCCAGCTTGCACATAACAGCCTAAACACATTTGGGGATAAAACTGCCCTGTACTAACCTTGCGGCATACTGCCTATTCTCACCACCAGCAGGAAATGCTGTACTGTATGTAGTATGGCCGTGACTGAGGCTAGAATTCTCATTTACTAAAATGTTAGGGAAAATATACCAAGGCCATAACAAGCAGCAGCAGGGTATACCTGTAGCTCATCTGGTGATGTCCATAATCTATGGATAGTTGCAACTCAGAATGCAAGAAGAGAATAGTAAAAGGAATTAATTAAATGAAGAGGAAAATAGTGAATAGTGAAACTAAGAGCTCATGTTTACATTGTGATAACCATGGCACAAAGATATCCTGCTAACCATTGTTAAATTTATCTGTTGCCTTTGACTCATCGCGAGTCCACTGTGGATGCAGCTTTCATTTGCCTTTTGCTGGTCCAGTGTTAAAGAGGTCTTTTCCCTCCTCTCCTGAAACAATCTTTGATACCTCTGTGATAATGTGGTTGATGACACCATCAGAGTCAGGGATCTATCCAGCTCCCATTCGATGTTTTGGGCTTCTGAGGGCATTCCCCCTTCCCTCTGGCCCTGGATACTGCCTTCCAGAGCTGTTCTGCTTTCAGGGATAGGAGAGTCCAATTCTTTCAAAATAAGCTCTCCCCCATCCCACCACATCTAAGTTCTATGGAGCAGCTCCGTGCAATCAATTACCTAGTGAAGGAAGAAATATCTCTCTATACTTCTCCTGCTACAACTGCCAGACCTGACAACAAGTCCCCAGGCTGCCAGGGCTCAGAGAAATGGCAAGAGAAGTTAGGGACAAGGTGACTTCTTCCCCATCAAGTCAATGATCATGTAGAATTGAACTGTGCAATTGGGTGCCTATTGGAAGAATTGGATTCACATTGCCAGCACCTGTCAGCCAGCCTGGAAAATTGCTGATAGCTGCTGTGGAGGGGGAGCATACTCCAGAGTTCTTGGGGGGCTACATTTAAACCTGAGTTTAGCACTTTTATGGAAAAGTGGCATATCAATATTTAATAATAGGTTTAAAAACAGCTGACAGGTGCAATAATTGTAAGAAAGGGAATCTTCCCATTGTAATTGTCCTGCCTCATCTTTTCTAAAATTCTTTCTAATTGTATGTTCTGTACTCTCTCTGTAGCACTAAACCCTTTTGCAAAAGTAGCACCCAAACACCTGACAGCTGCTATGAGGGCCATGTAGCAAAGTGAACTTTCTTGTTCTACTGTGCCACCCCAATAAGGCCTGTTGGCTCATCTCAGAACATCTGACAGGTTTGCTGGGTGACTGCAGACTTTGGACCTCATTGCCCAGTGGTTCAGATACAAGTGCTGTGTCTGATCTGTGGATAGGATAGAGCTTTTTAGTAAAGTGCCTCCCCCACGGTGTGGGTTGGGATTGCCCAGTAAAGCAGAGATAGTATCATTTCTCCTGGCTGTATATTTAAAACCTTTTAAGTAGAGGTTTACTGGTCTTTAAGAAGAGCTAAAGGCTCTTGTCTAAAAATAATGCCAGTATTGATTGGTCCAGGAAGAAGATTGGCCCTGCTTCTGCTGGCCCTGCTTCTGCTGGCCTTTTCTAAGACCTGAAGGACTGGTTTTGTCAACAACTAGGGATCTGGATGTGGGAAACAGGCTATGGCTACCCAGTGGTTATGTTGATTTGTAATGGTTATTCTGTTTTTTTTAATCCATTTTATTTATGCTGGTTAAGTGAGTGTTCTTTTTATTATGTTTTACTGTATTTCTAATTTTTACTAGCTGTCTAGAGTAATGAATTTGAGGTAGGCAACCATATAAATTGAATGAATGAATGAATGAATCCTGCTACATTTATGTCACAAGCAGTCCAATTGCCAGCTGATATATTATTATTATTATTATTATTATTATTATTATTATTATTATTATTATTATTATATTAACAACAACAACAATAATAAGATAAGATAACTTTTATTGTCATTTTTATACTGTGGGCACAATGGCACACATCAAAAATGAAATTTAGTTGCCCGCTCTCAAAGTGAAACACATACTGTACATGACATACACCTAAACATACTATGAACAACATATGTATACATCCACATCCCTACTTAGCAATAAATATTAAATACGTACAATAAATATATACGTAGCAATAAATATTAAATATTGTCCATCTTGAATATATAACGGAAGCAGGAAGCTTGAGAGTTCGCAAGGTTAATGCTGTATGGAATGAAACTATGTCTGAATCTGAATATTCTGTTACGGATACCATGAAGCCTCCTCCCAGAAGGTAACAAGGAAAACAGGTCGTGAAAAGGATGTGTAGTAGTAGTAGTAGTAGTAGTAGTAGTAGTAGTAGTAGTAGTAGTAGTAGTAATAATAATAATAATAATAATAATAATAATGATGATGATGATGATGATGATGTTGGAAGGGACCTTGGAGGTCATCTAATCCAACCCCCTGCTCAGGCAGCAAACCCTATACCATTTCAGACAAATCGCTGTCCAGTCTCTTCTTAAAAATGTTGGAGCATTCACAGCTTCTGGAGGCAGGTTGTTCCACTGATTAATTGTTCTAACTGTGAGGAAATTTCTCTTTAGTTCTAGGTTGCTTCTCTCTTTGCTTAGTTTCCATCCATTGCTCCTTGTCCTGCATTCAGGTGCTTTGGAGAACAGCTTGACTCCCTCTTCTTTGTGGCAGTCCAAGATATTGGAATACTGCTATCATATCCCCCCTCATCCTTCTCTTCATTAAACTAGACATACCCAATTCCAGCAACTGTTCCTTATGCAGTATGTTTTAGCTTCCAGTCCCCTGATCATTTTTGTTGCTCTTCTCTGTACTTTCTAGAGTCTCAACATCTTTTTTACATCGTGGTGACCAAAACTGGATGCAGTATTCCAAGTATGGCCTTACCAAGGCATGTGATCTTGATTCTATCCCTCTGTTAATGCAGCCTAGCACTGCTGGCTCATATTTAAGTGATTGTCCACTAGAACTCTGAGATCCCTCTCACAGTTACTACTATTGAGCAAGGTACCACCTATACTGTACCTGTGCACTTGGTTTTTCTTGCCTAAATGTAGAACTTTACTTTTTTCATCATTGAATTTCATTGTTAGATAGTGCCCAGTGTTCAAGTCTGTCAAGATCCTTCTGAATCTTAAGCCTATCTTCTGGAGTGTTGGCTATTCCTGCCAGCTTGGTGTCGTCTGCAAATCTGATGAGTTCCCCACCTATCCCCTTATCCAGATCATTGATGAAGATATTGAAGAGCACTGGGCCCAGAACAGAGCCCTGGGGCACCCCACTACACACTTCCCTCCATGTAGATGCAGTTCCATTGAGGACCACACACTGAGTACAGCCGGTCAACCAGCTACAAATCCATCTGGTGATAATGCTGTCTAACACACATTTTTCTATCTTATGAAGTAGTAGGTTGTGGTCTACTTTATCAAATGCTTTACTGAAGTCCAAGTAAATTATATCCACAATTATATTGCATCAAAGAATGTAATAAGATTTGTCTGGCATGGTCTGTTTTTGACAAACCCATGTTGGCTTTTGGTAATGACTTTGTTTGCCTCTAGGTGTTCGCTGATTCGTTGCTTGATTATCTTTTCCAAGATCTTCCCAGGTATTGAGGTCAGGCTGATAGGTCTGTAGTTTCCTGGATTCATTTTTTTCCCTTTTTTGAAAATGGGAACTACATCAGCTCTTTTCCAGTCCTCTGGTGATTCCCCAGTGCTCCAGGATCTTGAAAGATATAGTTCAATGGTTCAGAGATCACATCTGCCAGTTCCTTCAAAACTTTGGGGTGTAATCCATCTCGTCCTGGTGATCTGAGCTCATCTAGGGTGGACAGGTGCTCACTTACCAGTTTCTTACCTATCTTATGTTTCTACGGTACTGTTTTTTACGGTACTGTTTTTGATAGGTTGGACTGTTTTTTCCCTTTGTGTAAAGACAGATGCAAAAAACAAGTTAAATAGTTCTGTTTTCTCTCTGTTGCTTGTCACCTTCTTGCCACTATCTCCCACTAATGGACTAATCATTTCCTTAACTTTTTTCTTGTTTTTTACATGCTGAAAGCAGCTTTTTTTTGTTATTTTTGACTTTTGTCGCAAGCCTTAATTCATTTTGAGCCTTAGCTTTCCTCACTTTATCTTTACAGGCTCAGGCTATTTGCTGATATTTTGCCTTAGTTATGTGCCCCTCTTTCCGCTTATTATACTTGTCCTTTTTGTATTTCAATTTATCAGAGAGTTCTTTATGCAGCCATGCTGGTTTATTTTGAGAGTTGTTATTTTTCTTCTTCGTTGGTATTGTGCTAGACTGGGCTTGTATAATCTCATATACATGATGCCTGAAATACTGATGCCAAACCAAAGCAAACCCATCAGTCTAATTTGTTTCCTCCCCAACTCTACTTTTAGCTCATGTTAACAGGAGACTTTTTCCCAGCATCACTCTGGATAGCAGTTTGTTATTACATGTCCAAAACATGTTGCTCAGTCAAAAGACTTTTTAAAACATCTTTAAAGATCTCTTTCTCTTGCAGAGAGTTTCTTGTGAGGCAAGGCATATGTTCCCACATTTTCTCGCTCCATACAGATTGCAGGGGCATTATAGCCAAAAAGCAGTTGGATGTGAAGTCCAGTCTGCCGGAATTCTATCTGGAACAAAGACAGATCTGAAGATTGCCCATATGTATTCTTCAACAGCAGAAATTGATGCTTCTGCAGCCACTTGCCATCAGCTGGGAGTCATGGGCTCCATCACGCTCTGAGCAATAAATGCAGCTTTTCATGGATTTAAGGTTTCACCAAATCTCATCTTTTTAATCACTTTGGAATTTATTTTTTGTACAGTTTCTTTAAGACTGATAAACTTTCAGAACTGCAAGCCTATAAGTTGCTGGGTGAGTTTTTCTTCAATTTTTTTTCAAAAGAAAGGAAACTAAGTCTTATCAGCTTTGTAAGATGTTTTTTGTAACTGGTAATATACAGCAAAGTACTTAAGAGTTTAAAGAGTTCAAATGCTAAGCCTTTGTGAAAGTGATTTAAAGAAAGACTTTGAAATTAATTAGATCCTCTCCTGTGGGAAAAGTCTGTTTAGTTTACATTTTGCAAACAAGACTTTGAAGGTCTATTACTAAAGCATATGACAGCAACTTTAAAGGAAATGTTTTATTTGTGGGCACATTAAGTGCTTCAGCTTTTCAACTCTCTACAGGAACTTAAAGTTGCTACTAAAGATAAACTAACTCCTTTGAAGGTGATCAAAATGGCCTTTCAGATGGACTTAAAAATTACAAGAAAGAGATGGAAATACTGGATTTGCAAGTGAAACTGGATGAACATTTAAAAATCCAAAAGAACATACAAAAATGTACTTTAAAAGTGATGTGGATTGTCCTTTTAAATTGAAATATATGAGATGTACTGGAATTACTTAATGGAGATTATGAATGGATTTGAATAAATATGATAAAAACTTCAGAAGAAAAGGCAGAGACTATAAAAAAACAGGAGTTAGAATAGGACTTAAGAATGGCTTGGAGGAAAAAAGCTACAAAATTGGTTTATTTGGCTGATTAAATAATGAGTTGCTATCTTTGGTTATCTGGATTGGATTGTTTCTCTTTTTGAAACATTCAATGATATAATTAATTATTTGTAACATTTATGTTATCAATTTTTGAATATTTAAATAAGGGGGCTATTTCTGGTAATGTTTAAATCGAATAAATCAATAAATGTTTAATAGCTTTCAATTTTGTTATTTTTTGCAATGTTTAATTGTTCAGAGGGGGATGAAGGACATTTAGAGTACTGGTAAATGGAAAAGGGGTTTATATATTTATAATGTTAGCAATTTTTATTTATTTTTACTGGATCTCTGTTGATCAATAAGGGGAATGTCTATGGAGATTCTCAGTCATCCAGGTCCAGGTTGTCCCAAAGATGCTTTTTCACGAGGCAACTGGACTTTCTTGTTTTTCTTTGAAGAAGTTTCATTTCTCATCTAAGAAGCTTCTTCAGCTCTGACTGGATGGTGGGGAATGGAAGGATTAATATTCCTTGCAAACAGCTGGTCATTTGCATTCTTTTAGAGAGTCGTTGAAGCTATTTGGAGGTTTACCTGTATCCTCAGGGTCACCTGAGTAGTGCAAATAGGTGTGGAGACTGTTGTGGAACTGTGCTTTCTGCAGGATGTTTTCTGCCCTGTGTCCCTTCACAGTTGAACACAGACACAGGCTACTGGAGATGAGTCTGTGTTGTCTGCATCTCAAACTGAAGTATAAATGGCTTCTGTAATCTCATTTTTTCTCCAGAAATCCATCCATACTCCTGCACCATTCGAAGGGTGTTCATCCCAGCTAAATGTCAATCGAGATTCTTGGTCATCCAGGTCATGGTTGTCCAAAGGTGCTTTTTCAAGAAAAAAACAAGGTTCGGTAGTGCAAATGTGTGTGGAGCCTTCTTGGCTGCAGGATGTTTTCTGCCCTGTGTCCCTTCACTTTTGAAGACAGGAATAGGCTGTTGGGAATGAGTCAGTATTGGGTGCATCGCAACCTGAAGCACAAATGGTTGTAGTCTGCAATGTTTCTGGAAATCCGTTCATGCTCCTGCACCATTCAAAAGGTGTTCATTCCAACGTGCATAGCTAAAAGTCTATGGAGATTCTCAGTCATCCAGGTCATGGTTGTCCCAAAGGTGAACAGTGAAGGGACACAGGGCAGAAAACACCCTGCAGCCAAGAAGGCTCCCCACACATTTGCACTACTCAGGTGACCCTAAGGACACAGGTAAAGTTCCAAATGGCCTCAACTATTCACACACACACACAGTGAGAGAAAGTATGTATTTGGTTTCTTTGATAGTTATGTCTGTTTAATATAATTCTTAATAAAAAAGTGAACACTATTAAATAAATAGGAAACAATTAGATTATCTGTATTTATTTAATTTCATCTTAATTCAATTTATATTTAAATGTAGTTTTTATCTTGCCTCCACCACGTCTTTGTTTGGCCACTTTAAAACACAGACTAGCAGGAAAAAAGATTCTGCATCCCTACCTTTTTAATAGAGTCAAAGCATATACAAATAAAGTAACTCCATACTGATTCCTTATTTATCCCAGTATCTTATGCTTTCTATTTTTTCCTTGTGTAGTTTATTAGAGTTGAAGCTGGAAAGATAGAAGACAAAATATCCAGAAATGGAATGTTTTTGTAATGGCACTGAGATCTGATGAATGTTAAGGACAGTCCATAGAGTCCAATGATAGAAAGATTTTAAGGGTCTTTGGATCCCGTCAGATATGAATGGATGTAACAGAGGTTAATGGCTACAAGAGACACCAACAGGCACAGCCTTCACAGTGGTCTCCTGAGCTATTCTGGATACCCTATGTTATCAGTCTGGTCAGGAGCCAGACTGGAGTGGGCTGCTGATCTGGTCGTTTGGAGGGCTCATGGCAAAATGTTGGTAATCAGCTGTTCAAAGGTGCACAGCTGTAGAGCACTTTGATGCTTGGTTCAAATGAGGTCTTAATTGCCTGTTAGAATAAAAAAGCAATATTGGTCTCGGATCCAATTGTGCCTGCTCAGGTGTTATTAATTTGTTGGTTAAATGTGTATGCCAGTTTCTTGTCTTAGGAGCCTAGGAGCTTCCTGGTTTTCAAAGTAACACCTGGAGATTAAAACATAAATTATTTCCTGAAGACATCTCAAGGGATGCTGCAGAAAAATGAAGAACAAACCTAAGTAAGCATCAGTGAGTGTTTCTCGTCAAAATAAGGAAAACAAAACAATTATTTTTCTGCTCTTATCATGCTTAGAGGTAGCCAACAAGGCCCTTTTCAAGATAACCCACTTCTTCCTGGGTAGAGACCAGAAAAACATATGCAGCACCACTGTGAGGAATGTTCAAGGTATCAGTTGGATAAAGTTGTTTAGATCCATTCCGAGATATATCCTGGCAGTGCAGGTCTGTGGAATTGAGAGTTAAGTTCTAGGTAGATTGCCACTCGATTATTAAATCTATATGCCTCCTGACTGGTCCAGGCCATGTGGGAGATGATGTATGGTTGGATCAAGCAATGGTGAATTAACCAATTTGCTTTAACTTACAACTTATTATTTTGATTTGCTCTTAGATGAAAACATACAATCTTCTAATCATATAACAGAAATACTCAATATGTACCTCATAACTAAGGAGAAAGAAGAAATGTGAATGGAATCATCTTCATGTGCCAGAAATAAAGCAGCATCTGAAAATATTCACAAAGAAAGAAAAGTATAATGAGCCAGTCTGCTTAATCCAACCTTTCCAAGTGTGACATCTATAGCAGAAATTTAGCAGCATCCACCAAGGCCCTCCACTTTGTAGGAAACCCAATCTAATGCTCAGAGCACCCTGAACCTGATTTTCTTGCACAGTCACTATTTATCTGCTTCTTTAAACCAGCGCCGCCCTCCCCCAACCTTTTGGGCACCAGGGACTGGTTCTGAGGAGAGAGGTTTTTCCGTAGACCAGAGGGGGCATGATTTTGTTTGCTGCCTGCATGTCGCGGATGGAGCTTCGCTTGTTTGCGCAGCCCAGTTTCTAGCATGCCACGGACTGGGACCGGTCCATGGACAGATGGTTGGGGACCTCTGCTTTAAACCAATTAAAAAAAATTAAATGAGACAGAAAGCAGTATCCTTTATAGAAGATATATACACGAAGATGATAAAATCTATAGGGTAAATTCAGTTTACTACAGTCTTAGAGCAATACAGAATGATCTGTAATCTATAGGGCAGGGATTGGTATCTTGCCCAAACAACCCCACAACCTGCACCTGGAATGAACCTCATCTCCTCCAGATATGTCAAATTACAGATATCATCATATCCAGCCACCATATCCAGCAATTACAATCTTACAGAAGGCTGGTTTATATAAGTTGTTGTTGTTTTCTTTACTATATCCAACCCTTCCTTCATAACAGCTCAGGACAGTTTACCTATTTTACTTCCTCAAAACTCTGAAAAGATAAGCTCTGAGAAACCATGGCTATGGACACTTCACAGCTCCTTAAAGATTTGCATGAACTGCAATAAGTCACTTGTTAAAGCAGCAGCATTTTTTCCCCCAAAATCACATGGGAGCTTGAAAAAAAATCATCTGCTTTAATAAATAAAGACGCTGTTTGGATGAGATTCAAAGCATTTCGGAATTATTTTCCAAAGTAGACAGTCCTAGAAATAACTACCACTCCCAAATCAACAAAAAACCTTTACAAGTAAATTGAAATTTGAACTAGGTTTAAGGCTGAACTTCTAGCCTTTGGACCACGCTAGTTTTATTATAAATGTTCATTTCTGGTACACATAAGAATGAAAGATACAGTTCTTTCTTTAAAAAAAGAAAAGAAAATCTCTAATGAAATAATAAAATAGTACCACTATCATTTTTATTTTAAAAAAATAAGATACATCAACATGGAATATAAAGACACACAGTTTTCTCCTAATATTTGAAATGTACAAATCTAGAACTATCTTACATGATTTTTGAGACTTAAAATGAACTTTCATTAAGAAAAATCAGGTAAGTTAAATATGTGTAACCAATCTTACCCTGATTCCTAACGGGAGAAAAGCAACAAAGTATTTAAGAAAGCATTATCATTAATTAAGGAATGTTCATATTCTATTATTAATTCTATGAATCTGCTTTATGAAAGCATATGCTGTAGCCCAATCATAAAAATAAGTGAAACCATAATGATACTGAGAGGTCTATGAAGAGGCAGATAAAGCAGGATGTAACACAGAGTAGTTTTCTTTTATCCTCTGGTACTCTTGTGCTCTTTAGTCATAATTATTTGCAGGGCTGGCATCTTTCAGTTGAATACCTGTTCTCTACACCTTCAGCACTACACAGAATGGGCAACCATTTTTTTTAATAGAGGGCAGCATTTTTACAAAAGTAATATAAACAAATAAGAAATCTTTCAAACCATTTCAGATATGGCAACAAAATGAGTGGAATCTGCATAGTATTAAGAAGAAAAAAGATAAAACTGTCCTCAACTTAGGTTCAACTTCTGAGGTGTACATGGTTATATCCATGGAGTTTTCTTAGCAAATGTAGTATATGGTAGTGCTTTGTCACTGCCTTTGTTCAGAATGTTTTTTCAACTTGCCAGTTCAGTCTGTGGCCTTGGAATTCCTAAATAGTTTCCATTCAAATACAGACTGGCTTTGCCTGGCTTTGTTTCCAAGACCAACCCAGTTTCCAAGTCCAGTCATTCAATGTAAGCATCTTCCCTTACTCACACTTAACATCTTCTAGAGTTATGAGTTCAGACTGTGCTCTCTTGGTTGGCCGAGGGAATTTGTCTTCTCCAGAAGAAACACTCAAGGTAAACAAATTTCGAAAATAATGAGGACCTGACCTATAATTAAAAAAAGAATAAGGCACAACATACACAACAATTCTACATAATTCAAGTACACAGAAAACTGAGGTAGTGTTGGAATAGATTACAAAGAGTGAAGAAAGTCTGAGGTTAGTTTCTCTGTTTCAATTTATATCCTATTTATGCAAAATATGCTTATGGTGTGCAAATAATATATGGCCCAATTCTCATTATTTAGTTGTAGAATTCTTTGCATCAATGAAAATAGAGTAAAGCAAACTTACTGATCATTAGCATAAAAAGGAAAGCTAACTCTTGAACCACTAGAGATCATACAAAAATTTAAGAATTCAAAAAAAAATCCTGCTTCTTTAGCTACCCAACAGTGTCCTTTTCTGGATTGTTTGCTTCAGATGTGGATAATGTTTTTCAACCTAGAACAGGGGTCAGCAACCTTAAACACTCAAAGAGCCACTTGGACCCGTTTCCCAGAGAAAAGAAAACACTGAGAGCCACAAAAGTTGCACGCGCACAGGAGGGGGGGAGCTTGATTGAAGAGTTTAATTAAAAAGAAATAGAGGCTGCTGTGCATGAGCGCTCTCTCTCTCTCTCTCTCTCTCTCTCTCTCTCTCTCTCTCTCTCTCTCTCTCTCCCTCCCTCCCTCCCTCTCCCTCTCCCTCTCTCCAATCTTTTGCTCACCTGGCAAGCTGGCTTCACGCTGTCCTCCGACAAACTGACCCACATTCTTATTGGGCTCGCTCTCTCCTACCCTTGGTCTGCCAGTCCTCTTCCCCCACTCAGTGTGTGTGTGTGTGTGTGTGTGTGAGAGAGAGAGACAGAGAGACAGAGAGACAGACAAACAGACAGAGCTGTTGCTTCCTGCTTTCTGCTGCTTCCTGCTGAGACGCAGCAAAGGGAGGAGACCCGCCCAATAAGCTTGTAGGACAGCATGAGGCCACTCTTTTTTACACATACACACACACACTCGGGGGGAGAGAGAGAGAGAGAGAGAGAGAGAGAGAGAGAGAGAGAGAGAGAGAGAGAGAGAGAGAGAGAGAGGGAGAGAGAGAGAGAGAGAGAGAGAGAAGGGAAGGGAAGGGAAGGGAAGGGAAGTGCCTCTCTCTGTCTCTGTCTCTGCAAATGGCAGAGGAGGCTGGGAGTCGCAGGAGAAGGCTCAAAGAGGCACATGCGGCTCCGGAGCCGCGGGATGCCGACCCGTGACCTAGAAGATCACATATTGCCTTTGTCCTCACCTTCAAACTTTGCCACCTATTTTGCCTCTTAACCTCCTTCCCACCCACCTCCTAAAAAATCTGAAGAAATTACCTATGGGTTTGGGTGCTTTAACTCTTGGACTCTTTCCAAATGCCAAAACATGGGTTTAAAAAAATCAGATCTATTCACTCTAAGGGGGCTATGATCAATAATCAACTCAGAGATAGAAATTGCTAGAAGCATTTTATATATATTAAGGCACAAGATCAATAGCAGCCCAACATCAGGGTTTTTTCACCTTGTGTCTCAATTCAGCAGAATTTCTCTGGCAGTAAATTCTAGAGAAGAATACACTGGATCACATTCATGTACATTATCTATAATATGAAACAGATACGCTATTGCTTTCCTTTTGAGAAATGGATGCAAGCCAGAATCTTGCTCAGACATGTCATATTCATGACTGAGGAACACATACTGTATATAGTATCTCATAACAGTGTAATGTCTTAGGCAAAACCTCCAACAGCTTCATATTCCATCACCCTAGTCCTCAAATAATAGAAATACAATAGTTGACTACCAATCCTCTGCCCTTTAATAATATACCTAAAGGCAGTCCCAATTCGAAGGGAAAAATGATAATTTGAATTCAGAGCCAAAGTTATAGACAAATTTTATTTATTAGCCAACATAACATTCTTTGATCGCTATAAAACCTTTCAGAGCAAGATCATATAGATCACCCTATATTAGATTATTTGTCCAAATTGCATCTGTTACAACTTGGACCGGCTCCTCAAGATACTAGGCAAAGAAAGTTGAATTCATCTGTGGTCTGGACCTCTTTGAAGCATCAGAAATATCTTCCATATCTTTCTATGCTAAGCAACGATCGTCCCCAAAAGTACAATCTTCTGCACCAACACCACTAGGCAATACTTGTTCAGCATTTGAACCCAGGACCTCTCACATCCTAATTGAGACTCATCCATTGCCAAACCCACAAATCATTGCTGGATAGCCAAACTTTTGTTGATTTCAAAACAACATCACCTTTCTAGTGGCTTTGCTCCAAGTTCCTGAAATTGGATAGTCTTGCCTTTCTTATTTTTGTCCTTACTGTCCTTAGGTTCTTCCTTAAGCTGGGCACTGCAGTATAAAAAGTCAAATTAATTATGGATAAACAGAAAATTCATCTGAACAGCGTAATGCATGCAACCACAAAATTAAATTAGTAGAACGTTCTGCATATTAGTATCTCAGATGGATAGGACTGAGCACTCATAGCTCCTAGTAAGCATAGAGATCTCTATGGTGGCTGGAGATAAGAGGAGCAGTAGTGGGTGCTAGATAATGAAACTGGGTGCTATGTATTATGTGGGAATAATTGCTTGATAATTTAATTTAAAATATCCTGTGCCACTACTTATTTTCTTACCAACCAGCTTGTCTGAGGATAAAGATATAATCCTACCAAAATTGAGAAAATATGAGCCTTGATTTACAATAGCACACACAGGAGATTCAGTAGAATAATAGAAGGGTTTATGAAAATAGAAATTCAACACATGAAAATTGTCAAATTGGAAAAGGCTGGGTTAAAAATATTTCTATTGCTTTCAGCTACTGGGAAATAACTTACAGAAGTATTAATGATTGATACGTTTGGTATTGCTCATTGCTGATTTGAATTTTCACAGATTTACATGGTTTGTAAATTAGAAGCAGTACAAAACATGGTAAATTAAAAACTAAAGCTGAAAACCAGAGAGGCAACTGAATCCTTACCATGAAAATTCGAGTGTTCTACTATCTTCTTTCCAGTACCACAAACCAGGGTTAATTATAGTCAACTGTAAATATTTAAAATACACTAAAGTTTAGAAATCAGTTAAACTCAGTAGCTGAGATGTAAATTTGCAACCAGGAACTCAAATGAATTCAGATGCTAGCAGTATGGACTATTTTATTTACGTATACTTCACCTTTGTTATTTATCAGGTATTATTACTTATAAGGTAATTCAGGCAATCATCTGAAGTGCCAAACCTTATAGGGGCAAGCTGCCTATGTGCTAATTACAGAGAAAGTCTGTCTGCACTTCAGGAGGTTATGGACAGCACAGTACAACATTCTCCTGAATTGTATTCACATTATGCTATAATGTCCCCTAAATCAGCTTCCAAAAGTATGTGGGGGGGGGGTATATTCAGAGGACAAACATTTCACTGCCAAATGCTCTTGATTTGAGCTTTGCCAATTTAGACAGTAGCAGAGGTACGACTTTTAGTAACTTTAAAATCCTGTTCTGTAGTGTTAAGCTATCCGGAATTAGAAAAAAGAAATTCTCTATTATCAGTACTGATGGGAAAGTCTGCTCCTCTAAACTTTAAAAAAAAACCAAAAAAAAAAAAACCACCAGCCTAGAGGTAACTCTTAAAATGACTATTCAAAAGAAAACTTTTTTTAATTTCAATGAGTCTCGTCTCAAAGGTACTTTTTCAAAAGACAACTAGGCTGTTTTTTTTTGTTTGCCTTTCGAAAAAGCACCTTGGAGGTATGACCTGGATGACTGAGAATCTCCCCAGACAATCAATAGGACTTATCAAAAGCTATAGCGGTATAGCTTTAATAAAAGGCCCCATCGTCAACAAACTCAAAACCACTTTTTTTTTAAAAAAAGTCCTGGGACGCGAAGGAATCATTTCCCAGGGTATTCTCGTCCCATAATCCTTCTCCTAAGAAGTGCAGGTCCGAGCAGCCACGTTCAAAGTCTCACTTACGGGCAAGTAAACTCCTTTGGGCAGCTCCAGAAACTGTAGCTGGGACATGCTGCGGAAGTTGTTTACCGGAGTATCCCGGCGACCGCTCTCTCGGCGCGAGCCAGCCGCCCCCACTCCCCACCTGACACAAACACACACATACGTACATACATACCGGCACACAAACCCCACGCGGGTCCCCTCGCGCTGCGGAAGGGCAAAACCTCCCGGCCGCGGATGGCAGTTTGAACTGTTTTGAAACGGGGGCGGGGAGGGGGGGCGGAAGGAGACAGCTCTTCTAAGAGTTAAGATGTGGGAAAATTACGAAAATGGCGGCGGCCTAACGAAACAGAACGTTGCCCTTCCCTTTCAATTTGTGATTTTTGCTCCTTCCTCCGCATACACCAGGGGTAGGCAACCTTGGCTCTTTTATGACTCGTGGACTTCAACTCCCAGAATTCCTGAGCCAGCACAGCTGGCTCAGGAATTCTGGGAGTTGAAGTCCATGAGTCATAAAAGAGCCGAGGTTGTCTACCCCTGGCATACACACACCACATACACTCGTCTGAATGTCACTCAGTCATCTCAGTGTAAATGCTGAACTAAGGGATTGGCATGTTATGGAAAAGCACTAGGTAGTTTTGGGCCAGGACTTCCTCAGGCCAACCTTCCTCTCGCTGCGCGGATCAGCTTGGGGGGGGGGGGGAAGGCGTCGCGTGTGGGGCCTCGAGTTCCTTCAGGAAAGGCGGGTTTTAGTTCTCTGCTTTAATCCCCTCCCCTTCCTAATGTTACTCAGCAGAGTCAAGGCACTTTTTGTACATGTAACTCTAAGCTTTCCTCAGTTCGATGCTTCCAGAATTCACTGGAGTAGGTTCCTATATTTAACAACAATAATCCGTATGCTGACGAAACAATATTATTCCGAACAATAATCGATGTTGTACATGGAGACAGCAGAATAAGCAGAATTGAAAAGACAGGAGAAAATCCCAGAAAACAAAGACCTGCAAATAGAAGTAGAACGCAGAAGGACTGTGAAAAAAGAAAGCGAAGATAATACCAATAGTAATAGGTGCCTTGAGTGCAATCCCAAAATATTTGGCGCAATGGTGATCAACAAAATTGCCATTACTAAATTGCAAAAGGTAGCTTTACTCTGAACAGCTGATATGCTGCTACATACCTTCAGCATCACCAAACCACATCCACCTATCCCAGGTCTTTAAAGACTCTACAACGGAATAAAAATGCCCAATATAATTTAAACATCTGTCAGACTCTATGACCAACCATAATAGATAACTTTAATATTTTTAATAATATCTTTATTATTAAGCAATATCTTTAATATAATTAAACATCTGCCGTTCTTGGGAAACAATGGTCTAATTCAATCTAAATCTCTGGTTGACTGTGTGACCAACTATATAATAATAGTTGGACTCCCAGAATGCCCAGGTAGCTATTCTAAGAGCTGTGAATCCAATAGTTTGGAAAGCTACTGTTTCAACAGATCCTATTCAGCAACAAGCTTGATTGAGTAGGAAAAGTAGAAAGGATGTTGGAAAAAGCAGAATACACTGACAGCTGATTTATTTCAAAATAAAATTGTGGATTGTGGATTGTATTTTGGAGTGTGGTTTTCATTTTGCCTTCAGTGTATATATTTTTCTCTTCCTTTTGTAAACCTCATATAGAACTGTGATGCTCATTGCTTTAGAAATTTATCAAATAAAGATTTGATGCCAAATATTGGTCTTATGTGTGCCAGGCACAGACCAGTATTTACAGAGGAGGGTGTAGACTTGAGTAGATATAAGATAAAGAAGCAAGTAGTCATCTAAAAAGTAATGAAGCCAAGCAAGAATATGCCTACTGTTATAACATGCTAAAAAGATACAAGTAAAGGTGTGGAGGGGGAGGTGGTTATGTGCAGCCAACCACCCAACTTGGGTTTTTTTAAAAAATAAAAACCTGGTTCTCAACCAGTATCTTCTTTTCCAGCCTGGAATCAAAATAGGGACAGGTTAGAAAGCATAGAACTGCAGGAATAATTCTGATAACAGAGAAGAACCCTGACAAGAGGTATCTTGAGGCCACCAAATTGATTACCATAACAGGCCCTCAATGAATTTTCACATTTTATTTTTTAAAATGTCATTATAATTCAGTTACACAATCATACAGGTGTATCAAAGCACATTACAGTTCTCGTGCCAATCAATGTTAAAGCACTTGGATAAAAAGCAAGTATTATAAAAATGCATAAAATATGTGTTTTCTTCATAATCAAGAACCTTAAATGTATCTTGCTACCTATTCTTAGAATCTATGACTGCAGAAGAGTTAGAAGGAATGCACATTGCTTCAGTCAGAAGAAAGCAAAGTGACTTTAGGAATAGAAATAGGCAAACTCTAAATTTAAAAGTCATCTTCTTAATGTACATTACAATGTACAACTATGCAGTATCTGTAAAATTTACTCAAGCTTTCATTGCTCCTTTGTTTTGGTTCTTTGACCTTTCCTGAGAAGAGCACAGTGTTCTTTTGTGTTTGCAGTTGCTATTGCTATTGCCAAGGATATTCTGGAGGTTTGGCAGCAACAATGCATATTTATTAAGAACAGGCAGAGAAACTGATAGAGAAACAAGTTAGGCCTTGTAATTGCAGTGAAAGCAGAATCCAAACAGAAATGTTCCTGCATCTGCTTCTGCTTGTTGGAGCTACAGTATCATGTCAACTCATTAGATCAATAATTTTTAAGATAAATTGAATCAAAATGTGCCCCCAATTAAATCAATAACCAACTAGATACCTCTTGCACATATTTCCCAGAAACTAGATTTGAGAAAGCTGTTGACTTTGCTATTGGAGGCTTTATATAGATTTAGTATTTAATAGCCAAGTATAGCCTAATCTTCTGTCAAAGTTTAATTCCCCTTTTAAACTATCCCAACTTGGAGACTACCAATCTATAGTAGAAAACTTCAGTTTTTAAATTTGCTTTATAAAGCTGATTATTTTCCTGTATCCCAGACAATATATTGCAAATCTTTATAAAGTCCAACTCCTAATGGCAGTTCAACAATAACATCACCCAAAGTGATACCTGGCTTTCCTTCACTTTATGTCTTCATGCTGAGGCTAGATGTCTGTCTGGGGTGATTTTGCTTGGATTCTTGCACTGGGGGATGGGGAATAGAGGGGTGTTGGATTTAATTGCCTAAATAGCACCTACTGGTTCTGTTATTTTATTTATCTTGTTTATAGTTTTACATACCTTTATCATATTAATGCTTCAGACTTTTTAGCTGTCATTTTCTGTCATGTTTCTGGGTTTCTCAGTTGCAACTAAGAAATATAATTTATCAATATTAATATCAATATAATACAAAGACAAGCAATAGAACATAACCAAACCAGTTCTTAGACTTTAAAAGAGCTGATTTTAACAAACAGAGAGAGCTTGGGAAGGATTCCATCTTAAAGGGAGAAACAACTCAAGAAGCTTGGAAAACTACAGATTCACCTACAGATTGGGTGAAACTTGGCTCAATAGTAAATGTGAGAGGGATCTTGGAGTCCTAGCGGACAATCACTTAAATATCAACCAGTAGTGTACAGCAGCAGTCAAAAAGGGCAATGTAATCCTAGGTTGCATTAACAGAGGGTTAGGATCAAGATCATGTGAAACACCAATACTGCTTTATAAAGCCTTAGTAAGACCACATCTGGAATACTGCATCCAGTTTCGATCACCACATTACAAAAAAGATGTTGAAACTTTGGAAAGAATGCAGAGAAGGACAACAAAAATGATTGGGGGCCTGGAGGCTAAAACACAAAGAATGATTGTAGGAATTGGCTATGGCTAGTCTGGTGAAAAGAAGGACTAGGGGTAATATGATAGCAGTTTTCCAATATTTAAGGGGCTGCAACAAAGAAAAGGGGATCAGCTTATTTCCCATCGCACCAGAAAGCAAGAGAAGAAACAGTGGATGAAAACTAATCAAGGAGAGAAGCAACCTAGCACTAAGAAGAAATTTCCTAACCGTGAGAACAATTAACTTGCCTTCAGAAGTTGTGGGTGCTCCAACATTGGAGGCTTTTAAGAAGAGACTGGACAGCCACTTTTCTGAAATGGTATATGGTCTCTTGCTTGTGCAGGGGGTTGCAGATCCCTTCCAACTCTGTTATTCTGTTAACTGATTGTCCATTATGAAATCAATGCTATAGAAAAGTCTACAGTAGCAGAATATCCAATATGCTAACCCCATCATATTCTTGCTATAGCAGTTTGAAATAACACCCAGATGTTAAAAGATGACCATCTCCCTTGGTTGGCAAAGAAGGTATAAAAAGCTATTTTGATTTTCTGCCATACCTATAAACCATCTAATTATGAAAATTAAAAGGAATACTTGATTAACTTTAGTTTCAATAGGGATATATTAATAAATGAAAGAGGGAAATAATCCTTGAAATAAGCTCTTCTGTTAGCTGTATTTACCTTTTACCACATAATTATTTTTTCCAGGTCCTTTCTTCTCTCGAGGGGGCAGCATGTCAAGAGTGAAAACTTGGCAGCTACGTGCCTTATTGTTTTCATCTTGTCATTAGAGTAAGGGAGAGATGAGGTTTTGAATGGGTTAGAGAAATGAAACCTCTCCAGTTCTGCAGATGTTTGTTGAAACACAGATGTATGGAAAGTTTTTGAGAACATTCTAAGTACTGTGAAGAAGATAACAGAAGGTTCTCAAAACAACAAGAAGATGTTTACATGAAGTATGTGGACATCTGGGAGGTTTGGCTGGGAATGTCATTGTTATATGCTTTGGTTAGATGTCTTGGGATTTTAGAGTTAGTTTTTCTTTGCCTAGCCCTATACCATGTAATGTATAGGGCTAAGCAATAAACCGGTAAGAATTTCAGAAATGAAAGAAATCCTGGACTTCATTTGGATACTTGAGCTGGAGGTTGACACACTATGTACTATTCTGTCAAAGATGGAAAAGATTGTATCATGAAATATATCCACACTTTGTATCTTTAACCACATGCTGATAGTCCTTACATTTCCTTATTTGAATAAAACAGATGCCCATGAAGATATCACAATTTGGGATGAGGGAAGGT